CCATGGGCATGACGGGTAATCTGTGACGTTTCGCTCTCTCAAAAGTTGGGCCATTTTGTCTTCATGCGCCAATGAGCAACTCTCATAGGAAAAAATGAGGCCCCGCCTCTCACGCTGTATCCAGTTCTTATTATACATCCATGATGCCGGCGCGGTATTTGAAATGTTCATATTGATATTTTTTTAACTCTGGCTTTGTAATAACAAATATGGCGAAACGAAAACAGCCAAGCCGCGCAGCTTTTGGATTCACAAGCAAAGAAGCGAAGGAGTCTAAAAATGAGAACGTGAACGGAACAACTTTTAGTTGGCCGGCTGTAAGCGGCGTTAGGGTTGAGTTTGACAGCTCCACACAGAGGGAGAGGCCTGCCGATGCGGAGCCTGAAGAGGCTTCAACAACGGCCACAGCCGCCGGCGCCACCTGCACTAGCGAACCTGACGATGCCCATGACTTGCCTTTTAACTGGACACAGAAAAGATGGAGTGAGTGGAATGAAAGGTATCCATGGCTTTTCATAAAAAATTAAAAATGTGGATGTGAGATTTGCAAAGAGGTCTCCCTGCCGCTCGCAGAAAAATCCACCGGAGTGCACCTTTCACAAGAATGGATTCAGGGAAAAGTCAGCAGTGATCAACAGAATAACCTGCGGAAAAAGATTTACAAGCACCATAAGAGCCAGGCACACGAAAAAGCGACCGAGATTTCGGAGATGAGAAAAAAATATGTACTACCAAACAAGGTATTGGCAATCAATGTTGATCTAATGCAGGAAACATATACATCTTTCAGGTCTGCCTATATGATTGCCAAAGAAGAAATGTCATACAGAAAGCTACCTGCTGTAATGTTCCTACAAAAACTCAATGGTGCAGAATGTTTTTATAGCAATTGATCTGCGCCAGTCAACAGAGCGTGCGTGTGACATATTTAGTAGCAGGATGTGCACTGAAAAATAGGGCTCCCCCGAAAACAAATGGGTAATTCGAACACTGACTATAACAACCATAAAGGGGACAGTTTGGCAATATTATTTTGATGAAAATCACTGATATTGAACCAAACCCAGATCATAATCACAGATCTTTAGCCGAGAAGGGAGTGTTTCTAGAGCCACTTTAAAGTGTGCGTGTGAATGAAGATACTCCTTTGCATGAATCTGAGGGAATGCAAATGTTGGCCTTTAAATGTGCTTTTTAAATAGGTCTCGGTGTGCATGTATCTGCATGTGATTCTGTGTGTGCATACCTGCCTTCCTCTTTGCTTCTAAGTGTGCATGGATGGGAATTAATGAGTATGAGCAGGACTGCAGTGATGTCTGTGATAAAGTATGTCCTGCAGCCTGCTCTGGCAAAGCTCACCTGGAATCTGAGTCCCGCTGTCAGCTCCCATCTCGCTCTCTGACGCGGCCCCCAGCCCACGGAGGGGACACTCTCTAACCTTTCAAACATTCCCAGTGGGTTGCCTGATTCCCCGTGACATGCCATGCTCGCTCCCTCACAGCATTAGCATAGCTGCGCAACACCTTATGTTTGGCTAGCATGCAAAGGTAAAGGATTTTTGTTTTTTTCTGCACTGTGGCTGTTGGGTAAATGTGAGAGCAGATGGTCAGGAGGGACACATGTTTAGGGTTAGCATATCGTCTTGGGATAGGAAGCACATGCGCAAAATTGGCCAAGTTGATTTGAAACATCCATTCTAGCTAATGCTAAGGTCCCGTCACATTACATTGTCTCTTTTCCCCTCCCTTAACTGAGGCTGATTATATAAGTGAGGCAGCAAAGACACAATAAAACAGGCTTCAAGGACGAGAAGATGTTTATCTAAATACAAAGATGCAAATCAGGAAATCAACTCTTTTGTTGTTCAATAATCGTGAAGTAACAAAGGCATATTGTACTTTTCAAGTCATTACTAACAAATATCCTAAAAAAAGGTTTTACTTTGAGTATTGCTTTGAACACTAAATTATAACTTTAATTAACCTCCTGCATTTCATTGTATTCTAGTTCTTCTTTTGCCAATCCTAATAGCACCACTTACACTTGTCATATTAAATTATCAAGCTACATTTAGCTACATTTGATTGATTTTGCTAATTTATTACTTAACTTATGAGGCAATATACCTCTCCTCTAGTGAGTGGCCCAGGCAGTCGTATATTTTTCTGTATGTGGACCTCAGTGAAAAAAAAGTATTAATAACCCCTCTTCTAGATGGGCGCTATTAGAAGCTTTTACTGTTAGTATGCTTGGAAAAGTAAAAGACAACCTTTAATATCCTCCCACGTTGTACTTCTTATTCTTCAAACTGCACCACACATACTTGCTTGTCTTTACATAAAGTGTATTTTGTGGCATCACTATATCATCCTATCTAGGCGCCTGCATTGCACCCTGTTTGGTTGAGGCAGCCAAACCATGTCTCACAATGGAGTGTGTCCTATCACATCATACATCATAGGAGAACACTGCATCATCCTGTCATTATGTTATAAAAGACCCCTCCATACATCTTCATATCCCCCATTCTGTCACTCGTCAGCGGCCACGGTGCCTCGATCTTCAGCTGATGCTGCTTCAGTACAAGAGGAGCAGAGGTGTTAACTGGGTTAAGGACCAGGAGGATTACCTGGTCCTTTGCTGCTGCCAGCCTCTCTCACTGACTCACTCAGTCAGGGTGGCCATTTGACAGCTCTATAGCACAGCCATGTCTGAGCTCTAAGAGGGAGGAAAATGGAGTTTTACTTCCCTGACCCTGGACTTGAGGAGATGACGGATAAAAAGATCACCATTCAAAAAGATGACACGGAAGATTGCAGTCAACTTATTTCCCCTTATAACTTGGTACTCCCACTCTCTGACTCTATTACTTTCCTCCTTAACCCACACTCACAGAGCCGCTACAAGTCACTCACTCAGAAGCAAAGTGAGCCATCTTAGGGGGGCAATCTAAGGCTGTATTTGATAAGCACCCCTGACTGGCAAGTGGGGCCACCACGAGGTCACTGAGCTCTGCCCCATACAAGAAAAAGGCACAGTCAGCCCTGGCATCACATCAAGTTCTGCAGGCAACAAAGGATGAACTCTAACAACACAATAACCTGCTCTGTCTGGGCACTGAGAGGGCAGCGGAGATGCTGTTCAGATAAGTGTTTCAATACTGAATTATAAGGAGAGAAAGAGGGAAGTGGAGGCGAGGGGTGGAGGGTGCATGTTTTCTTTCCAAGCCCAGAGCAGCATCCAGAGAGCGGGCTTGGCAGGGATCCATGTATCCCTTGGCGTTAGTACCGCAGTCACATTACATTTCCCCTCTCCACTAGATCGCTGTGTGCCCAGCCGACGCTCCCATCCAGGACATGTCGTGTCCACTTTAGACTTTAGGCTCTCTGGCTCGAGCCAATCCAACAGCTAACAAACTGGAGCAGACTGTGGAGTATATAATTGTGTAAATAATTCAGGTAGTCAATGAATGAAATGAGTTAGGGTGCTTGAGTTTGATGAGCTTGCCATCTGCTGTACTGTAAACTGGAACCTGCTGAAGCTGAGTGTGTTTGACAAAAGAAAAGACAACAGAAAGGCTGCTGCACTACTTTCACATGCTTCCACATCCACAAGCACAACGGAGAGTCAGAACATAGCCGTGCACGTGCAGCGAGCCCTCGTGTTCTGCACATGATGTAAAAAACATTTCAGACTTCCTGTTTGTTGATACTGACAGCCACACTGAGATTCACATGTGCCACATACTCCCTGTGCTGATCCTGCACCAATTAATTTCATGAATGACTAACTCGTGTTTGGTAACAAACTCCCAGTGGCTCTAGGCTTACCTCACTAACCCCCCCCCCCCCCCCCCCCCAGAGGAGTGGCACAGCCAGGAATAGTCACAGGATAATGGAGTCCGAAGCGTTGTCCCTCGCAAAAAGGGGAACATAATTACAGATCCAAGGCTTAAGATTAAATTCAGCAAGCCAGTTTCTGATCAAAAACCAGAGCATTTGCAGAGTAAAATAACTCCTGTCTACTCAAGGAAGCAAAGAAAAAATCAAATCTGATGCATTTACTTAATGCACTTAATTAGCTTCTTTTTTTGGCCAAATGTCTGAGCTGTCACACAAACTGTGTCATTTCCGTGGAGCTTGTGCTGGAAAGAAATGTATGAGCTCTCTTTAAGTCTCAATTCTGCCTTGCCAAGGAGGAAACATTTTGGACAACATGGCCCTGGCCTGAAGAGAGCTGGGGCCATGTTGTCTAAAATGTTGATTAGGTTTGGCATGTGTAGAGATAGATTGCCTGCCATCTTTTCATTACTTCTCTGGAACCCCCCAGAGAGAGGGCATGGAGATGGACTTGAGCAGGCAAGGCGTAATTACACTTCCACAGGCAGGTCATGTGCTGTTAAATGCTCTGCCACCATTTCTCATTACTTAACAGTGTAGTCCAAATGATACGCTGTCACTTGGTAAATTAATTGGCATTTGGTGAGGGCAGTATGCCAGCATTGTCTCCTACATGTGTCATAGACTCTGTGGGACCATGAGAGGGTCCGCATTATCTGACCCTGATTAAGAACATAAGACGAGTTGAGTACATAACAACTCTGGGTTATTGCACAAGTCTTAAGAATTCATATAGCATGTAATTTCACAGCTGTCGGACCCGTTTGACCTTTGAATGCATATTTCTTAATTTGCACTGCAGCAAGTACTTTTTTCTTAATTTGCGTTTGCCCTACATTTAAGAGACAGCTCATGATGTGAATTAAGAGAAAAGTCTTGCATAAACCATGAAGCAGAATTTTAAGTGAGCAGACAAACACTGCACAAAATACCACTTCATGCTCTCGTCGAGGTAATATCAAAGCCAGAACAGCATTACCCAAACGCTAGGTACCAAAGGACAGCATTATTAATATTAAAACAGAGCAGATTTAAGCCCCGCAGAAAGATGTGTGTGTCTGTGACCTTTTGTGTTTCTGGTGCAGCGCCAGCTCGTCTTACCTCCAAAGTAGGAGCCATCTGACAGCTTGGTCTCTTTATTGCCTTTGGTTAGTACGCCGACGACCCCATGCTGTATGAAGTACATTTTTCTTCCGATGGTGCCCTCCCTGATGATATAATCCCCCGGCTGGAACACCTCGAACTTCAGCTTGGTTAGCATGGAGGTGACAAAGTTGGGGTCGGCGTTGGCAAACAGAGGCATGCACGCCACCAGCTTTCGACAGTTAAAGTTGATGATTTCCTGCGTGAAAACACAGAGACAGCAGTTAGCGAGAACAGCAGAAAAAGGCATTGGCCTGTCACAATTTTTAGATAAAAGAGGATATTAAAACAGCAAGAAATGTCAGCTGTGTCGAAATGTCTTAGTTTTTTTCTGAGCTCCTTTCAGTTTTACTCTGGTTTGGATTTGGCCTCGAGAAAATAACAAAACTGAGTTGAACTGAGGGTAATGTCAAGCAGTACACAAGCTTTTGAAGGCATCACATGTGTAAAAGCTTCTTGAGACAGGAAAAGTGATCCCACCTCTCGGAGTGGCTCGTTCAGCTCTCCCAGGATGCTCTCCTCGTCGAACATCTTTCCCTGGTACCGGTGCTCGTAGTAGTCGTGGATTCTCTGCCTCATATCGGCTGGCAGCTTGTGGAAGGACATGTACTGCTCCACTTGTTTGTACTGTAGGGACACAGAGACACACAACAATCAGGTTACTCAAAGGCCAATGTGCTGAAGCTCAGATACACAGCCACAGGGAACAGCTGGCACTGAGGTCACACACACAGGGAAATTGTGACAGATACATACAGGCCATGCAGCCTCTTGTAGGTTACGGCCAACAAGATAGCACTTTTCCAGTCTTATGTCTTGCCTCTCAGTCTGTATTTCTCTCAGAAGACTGATATGAGGTAATAACTCAAAACGAGCAGGGTGGTTTTATGTTTTCCAGTGCTTGGGATAAATAAAAGTCAAAATCATACAACATTTATTTATTGTATTTCAATACTTTTCATTCACATATAGTATCTAATAATGTATACATAACATAACTGGATGCAGTGTACTGTAGTGTCTTGAATGTATTTGAAGGCTAAAGTACTCCGTATGATCTGATAACAAATCAAATTCATGCATTTAAACCAATAACGGGAGATAAGACGAAGAACCTTAAGACAATATGCTAAATGTCCTTCTGTGTGTGCATGCAAATGATTGGTTTAGCATCATAGGTAACACCTAAATACTACTAAATAGACATTTTATTTTTGTTAACATACAAAGCATACTTATGTAGGAAATGCCTTATACACATATGTGCTGTAGTGAGCCATTCATTTGTTGCAAAGCCTAGCGACTCCTCAAACACATGCTTTTTAATGTGTGTTTAACAGTGAAAAAAGCATGTGGTTGCATCATCTGGTCTTTACAGTATGTTGCTTATTAGAATACAAGTATTAAAATGTGTTAGATGGCCTTTCATTGATGCTATATGACGCAGAGATGCAGATCAAAGCCCACCGAGAGCACCTCGGGAATAATAACAGGTAGAATCCTTGACCCTTAGTAACAGGGAAAAAAAGGAAGAAGAAAAAAGAAATTAACCATTCATAGGGCGATGGTGGAGGTGCTCTTTGATCACCATTTCTCTGCTGCCAACAGCCTTACCACTCAACGACATGGCTGACCTCAGATGTCTCCCTCTTTGTTATCCCACTCTACTACCATAGTCACCAATAATCTGGCAGCAGAGCATCAAAAGACCAATCTTCTGGAAATATAGAGCAATAAATAAGGACAGCTGTTTCATGCAAGTCAAATTGTTTTTTGTGAAAAGCAGAAGAACTGTCAGGCTTTCTGAAAATCAAGAGTTGGAAAGAAGCGCATACGAATCCAGTGATACAAAACATACAGGCAGGATAAACTACTGTATTATAAAACCGCACTTATGAATTATCAGATACCAAAAATCCACTGACATCCTGCTGTGTTTCTTACTCTCTAAAATGCTCACGTCCGCAATGTTCTATTTTTTCTCTGCTCGTCTAAATTTGGATGGATTTGAGTTGTGTTTGACCAGAGCCTTTAGAGTCCCTCACAGACAAAGACAACAGTCTGGAGTCAGGCTGTGCATGCAGATGACTCAGCTCCCTCCACTGTGACCAGTTAGCTATAAACTGCTGCATGCCCTAGCTTGTAATCGTGATTTGTAATGCATCGTGTAATCATAAATGCTACAAGGTAAACATATACCGTACATGAAAGTATAAGAGTATATTGTATGTGGATATGCAAACATGGGCTTCTACCAGAAATGCTGCATGATAAGTCAGATTAGTTGCATACAGTACATATTTCACCTCCAATAAATGGCTCATCTGATATTCATAAAATATATTTTCACCTTTTAGGAATGTCAACGGAAATATTTGGCAATTTATAAGGTTAAATATTTCATGAAGCAAGGATAAGATGTGCAGAGAAGCTTCTACATATCCGGCCTCGGTGCAGACATGGATGAGTTTTGTCACGGGGGAAGGGTTTGAGTCTTTATCCCCACAATCCCTTTGGCATAAAATTGAGCATTTACTGATCTGATGATGAAATGGGATCCTCGCACAGAGAAGAAGTGTTGCACTTCTACTCCAAGAGACATGAAAAGCTATAGAAAAAACAGCGGATATCTCCAGCTGCAGTCCTATTGGCTACAGAGTCACAGCGATGATGGCTTGTCTGCGTGTGACGCCGGGGTGAAGATGACAGGTGTAACCCACATTCTGCATCTTGTCTAATGTCTTTATGTCTCCTGCATTAGACATGCCGCTGCATGGCGCTCTGTTTCAAAGGCGTGGATTATCCTCCAGAATGTCTCTCAAACCTTTCTTTTTTTACATTCATAAAAAAACAAGCATTTATCCTCAGCTTTTCTACATGTTACACTTTGATTCCCCTAGCATGAAAGGGCATTAGTGAAGTGAACAAACGCACAACAATGTCTCATTGCTTTTATATTGTGATGAGTAGAACTGCACAGGAGCTCAGTGTCTAACTCAAAGGCATTTCATATTTACTAATCACAGCTGAGCGTGAGAGGAGGAGCTGACAGGGATGTAAAGACAGCGACCACAGGGGGACGGCACTCTTCTGATGCTGTGATTGGGCCGATAACACCCCCTGTGATGGGAAATTATCTCATTGCTGCACAGCCGCCATCACGCTGCCACCAGGAAGATCCCTGCTCCTGCTCTACTTGGCTAAATCAAATCATTGTCAGCATTAAAGAGGTAATCATTCCACCATCAGCCTCGCTCGCTACAATCTGACAGCCACGGGGCTCAGACTGCAGGGGGGCTGTTCAAAATGTAGGAGCTGATGAGAGGCATAGGATTGATTCCCTTCTGTCAATCCTTCTTGCCTTGGTTTGACGTTTGGGATTGAAGATTCTTACCTCTGACACATCTGTACGCTTACCATTAGCAACTTCTTAGCTTAGCACAGGGGGAAACACGAGGTAACACGTAGTCTGGTTTTGTCAAAATGCAACAAAATTGGCCTACAAGTACCTCAAAGCTCATGCAACAAAAGTATGACATCCTCAAGGTGACAACAAGAAATAGTCACATAACTCATAAAAACACAACATGTCGTTCTTCTTCTTTGTTTTTGTACAGATTAAAACAAACTGGTCAGAAACATGCTAGTTGTTTCCGGATGTTTAATTAACAACTAGGAGCAAGGTTTCAATCTTCTTATCCAACTCGCAAGACAGGAAATACATTTAGAAATACATTTTAAAGAAAGAGTTTCATCTATCTGTTAAGGTTTTATCACAGCCATATCCAGATATTGATGATGATTTGAAAAACTGATATATGCATTTTCTGCCATAATAAAAAGCAATGACACAATGCATTCTGCGAAATGACATTGTTTGTTCTTTTAATGACAACCATTTCAGTAGAAAGTTCCATTATTAACTGTGTCTCTGTACAAACTGCACTGTAAATAACTTAGTTTGACTTGCCGTCTTTTATATCCCAGCAGAGAGGTTTGAGTGTGAGCATAATAGCTTCCAGCATTGGAAATATTACAGTAGTAGTAAACTCTGCCCCGAGCTAAACCCGAATTGCATCTTCCCGCTTTTTCATTTCACAAATCCTTTCCCTCCCTTTCTCAGTTTCTGATCTGTCTTCACATGGCCATTCTTTGGTCGTTTTTTTTTATCCGTACTTTTCTTTTTCTTTGTGTCCCTCTACGCTTTTACAGTATCATGCTATTTATTTCCCCCCCTAGTTTCATTCTCTCTCATCCAGCTCTCCAAGCAGATGCACATTCTTCCCACATACAGTATGAATAATTCATTTCCCAACAGATATGTCAGCCACTAAATTATACTTTCTAAATATGTATTTCCCCCCCACTATTCACTGTCTGTCTACTACTTCATAACATTGTGTTGTGTGGTCAAAAGGTCTGGGCCATACAATAAGGCGTCCTGAATTCTGAAATGCTTGCACCCACAGATGTATGCATGAAAAATAGGCTAAAGAGAACGTATCAAAAGCGCATTATAGAGACTGTTCACCTGCTTTATTTGTGATATACTTTCATGAGGGAAAGCTCAGTCTTGCACACAGGAACGTGCATGGGGAGCCGTTTATATAATGTAGTAACTAAGTATTCTGCCACTACGAGACAGGTGGTGTCCTAAAATGACAGCGACAACTTATTACATCTCCGCCAAATTGAGTTGTCATTCACTCAGCATGTAAGAACTGTCACTGTGAGCATAGCATTTAGCCTAAAGCACCTCTGCGCCTGAGTACAGCCTCACACAGCTGCTAGCATGCTGTAGACTCTTAATTTGTATTGCATATAGTCTGCAATAAATGCCTTTTCTCAGTATGGAATAAAACACTACACCAGGGATCTTCAATGTCCTTTGCACAGATGACACTTGTGAAATGTCAGGAAGCCAGGGGCCAGTAAATAAACAAAGATCATTCATATTTATCAGATTACATAATACACATTTAAAGAGCCATAACTCATCTTTCTTTGTTTGAAAACTCAAAGACACAAGAACTGACACTTTGCCTTTATGCAAGATGAATCTACCCTTTAGGTGAAAATGCTTTAATTAATGTAAAAACACATTTATTTTGATAAGCTTTACTACTATTTCTGAATCATGTGTGTTTCCTTTGCGTAGCTCAGTGTCTGATCCCAATGCCCTCTGAAGTATAAAATGGTCAGCATGTCACATGGCACCCTATCATGGGCTGGATTTGGCGCATGCAGCTTAAGTTAAGTGTCACTCTTCTAGTGACCTTAGAACACGTCCTTATTTACAGCTAAGAAATAACTACACTAAGCACACATATAAAAAGGTTAATAGAAATACCCAGAATGAACAATTCATCTGTAAGCAACAGGGATCTGCATTGATCATTAAGTGCTTTATTTTCTAGTGATTTAATTAGGCCATAGTTAGTTAAAAGGGTGCGATTGATTAAAGTCACTATGGTGCATTCTAGCCTATTTAAGCAAGGTCATTCCCTTGCTCTTAACACACACCATGTTGCTACTGCAAATCTAAAAATACTACAGTATATTGGTAGCATTTTTCATTTGGTTTTGGTCATACTGTTATATTACCTCTGGGGCTTGTCAACGGTCCT